GATGAGCAGTGTTGAAGAAGAAAATGAAAATGCAAACAGGATTATTGATTACTAATATCATTTATGAGTCAAACAATGCAGCCCAATTCTTAAAATTTCTGGAAATGCTTTTTCATTTTAAATATGGTAACGATTTGCTTCCATATCCGCCCGCCCCTGCCCTGCCGGCGAAGCAGAGCAGAGAGGTTAGGAAATCGAGCGCACCCAGGATCCAGAATTCAACGCGCGTGCAGCGTCTCACAAGAAAACATGGCGACATTTCCGTTACAGACGTCGCTTTAAAAATTTTCTTTACTTTATTTTTTTGCTGCAAAAATACCACACGATTTAATAATTTCTCTTCATATGTTGATAAATGACAGTAAGCTTTAGTATCAGGTATTACATTTAAAGTAGACACGGAAGTATCGACGCCTCCAGCGGGGTTAGACATGAAGGAGGCTTTGGCCGAGGTTCAGAGGATCAGCGCACATCCGGACTCCCGCTGCTGGTTCGTTTCTTGGAGCCCGAATGGCGCTTTGCTGGCTTCATGCGGGGGTGACAAGGCCATCCGCATATGGGGGCGAGAGGGTGAGTTATCATAAACACGACTTTTTAGGACTCCAAAGGGTGAATGCACTAAAGCACTAGTGGCTAGTCAAATCAAATGACATTCATTGGCTTGTCAGTTTAAAACGCATTGACAAACCGCAAGTATTCTCCCCAAATACGTTCAAATTTGAATCCCATGACTTTAATAAAACATATTCTGAAACACATACAGTCCTCACAACATATGAAAATAAAGCTTAAGCCTTTATAGTGTATTCAGTGAAATACTTTGAAAATTAACATTTCGAGCCAATAGTGTTATTTGAATCCAGGACCAGACCTTATAACCTTTGTAACATAAAAAAATATGGATATTTTGATGGCAAAAATGAGTTTCAATAATACTTGCCTGAATATATTAGGAAAATAAAAAAGTGCTTCTATAAGAAATTCATTAAAAAACTCTGAGAGTGTAGAAAAAACATTTTATTTTGGTACAACATAACCTTAGAGGCATTAATGCTGATACTGAAACTTGGCATTTTTTGGTTTATAAACCTAAATATAACAGTTAACAAGGATTATGATCCTTTTAACTTTAATTTTTAACTTTTCAATTAGCTTTTTACCTTTTTTTCCCAGCTTAATGTACAGCAGGTAATGTATCATTCAAGGGCTCATCTAACTGGTCAAATGCTAATTGGACCTTAATTCTAAGGCAAGTGATCAATAACGGTAACTTGCCCTATAAAGGGTTAAAGTCTTCAGTTCTGTTGTATTTAGTGCTGAAACCATAAATCTGATTAATCGTGATCAATTAATGAAATAATCGACAACTACAGGGCTGCCAACTTTTCACCAAGCCTTGGAGTGAAATTCGGAAAATAGTTTGGTCAGGCAACCATTGTCATACCATCTTAACACCTGTTTTTTTATTCTTTTTTCTTTAGGTGACTTGTGGGTCTGTAAGACAGTGCTGCAGGATGGTCACCAGCGCACTGTGAGGAAGGTGGCTTGGTCTCCATGTGGCTACTATCTGGCTTCTGCCAGTTTTGATGCAACCACTTGCATCTGGAAGAAAAAGAATGATGACTTTGAGGTTTGATGAGGCAGTATTTTTACTTCTTTTGTCATTTAAAAGACCATCTTTGAAATCCTTTACCACTTTTGAATTTGTCCCCTAGAGTTTGACTGTGTTGGAAGGACATGAAAACGAGGTCAAATGCGTGGCGTGGGCCCCTTCAGGGAACCTTCTGGCCACATGTAGCCGTGACAAGAGTGTCTGGGTTTGGGAAGGTTTGTGTCAACAGAAGCTGAACTCAAATGCTGTTGCAAAGTAACTTTAGCTCTTAGCTTGTGTATAAACACGATTTATTTTTTATTTTTGTGCTTTTCAGTGGATGAAGATGAAGAATATGAGTGTGTTACTGTGTTGAACTCTCACACACAAGATGTCAAACATGTTACTTGGCACCCCACAAAGGAGGTAACACAAACTCATTTCTTCTTATTATATTAATTAGTCTGATCCCCCCCCCCCAATACGTGACATAACAAAGCTTCATGTTCGTACAGCTTCTGGCTTCAGCCAGCTATGACAACAACATTTGCATTTACAAAGAAGACGACGACGACTGGGAGTGCCAGGCTACTTTGCAGGGACACACATCCACGGTGTGGAGCTTGTGTTTTGACGCTGCTGGAGAGAGGATGGCTTCCTGCAGCGATGACCGTACCGTGAAGATTTGGAAAGAGTATCCCAGCGATAGTGGGCAAGGTGTGTTTTTGGTGGACAGTAACGCGTTTTCCATGTATCAGGAAGAAAAAAAAAAAAAACGCTTCTTATTTGCTTCTTTCAAGGCGACCTCTCTTGGAAGTGCGTTTGCACGCTGTCTGGATATCATGGACGAACGGTTTATGATGTTGCCTGGTAAGTTTTTGTGCTTCTGGGATTTTGTAAAGTAGATGCTGCTTGTTTGAAAGGTCTACCAGCCCTGATCCTCAACTTTTAATGTAGTGATTAAAATATGTTTTTCCCATTCCTAAGTGCTAGCAGCTCAAAATAACAGCATCCTCTATTTTTATTTGATGTTGGATGTTTGAAAAATATGAAATCAGTTAACCCTGTAATGCCAAATGTATCATATTTGATGCATACGGTTTCTGAAATGTTTTGCGTCTGACACCTTTTGCATAATCTAATGGTAAAACCTCAAAATCCTATTGTACACAATCAGATATACCTGATAACAGAGGGCAGAAGCCTACGCAAAAAATAATCTTGACTTATTCCATAGTAATAAATTATTATCAAAAATGTATTTCTGTTTTTTCTTTTTACATATTTTGTTAAAAGGCCAAATAAGGACTTCAAACCAAAAAAAAGTAACTTTCTGTTTTGTTTTATTCTTGGATAGGGCTTTAAAGGGTTAAATGTAAAAATTGTAACCAGAAGTTGGACCATTTAGATTTTATTTAATAAATTCAGATTAGATACACTTTTATATATTTCAACTGATTAACTGAAATATAATGGTCTTCATTTGTTGTCATAAAATTTAATAAACCACTTTCATTCAAGTCCGAGCTTTACTTTTTGAATTTTGAGTGACATGTCTACTTTTAAATTCCTTACTGTTGCATGTGGGGCGAAAACAATTAACTGGATTAATTGATTATTGAAATAATTAATTTAATAATCAATTTATTTTTAACTGGAATATAGAGACTATAAAACATGCCTTTAGTTGACAGAGAAACCCGCTTAGAGCAGTAATTATACAAATATTGTAAAAAAAAATATAAACATTTTGCATTTAAAAAAGACAAAAAAAATTCTATATGTCCTATCCAGAACTCCTTAGGTGGAAAAGTTTTTTTTTAACCTGGTTTAATTTTGTAAAGTCTTCTTCTAGGAACCTTTTGTCATCTGATTATTAATCGATTAATTGGAAAAAAAAAAGATTATCGATTTGCAAAATAATAATTAGTTGCGAGCCTAGTTGCATTTCTAGTAGTCCTAAAACTTCTAAAATGTTAAAAGTAATCTGTCTCTTTAAAAGTGATTTAGTTTCTGACTAAATAATCCTAATCTGCTCAGGTGTCAACTGACTGGTGCTCTGGCGACTGCCAGTGGGGACGACGCAGTGAGGGTTTTCAAGGAGGATGTGACGGCCAGTCCAGATGAGCCTGTATTTTCATTGGTTGCCCAGGTAACCAGAGCTCACAACCAGGATGTAAACTGCGTTTCCTGGAACCCAAAGGAGGCGGGCCTTCTGGCCTCCTGCAGCGATAATGGAGAAATTGCAATTTGGAGATTTAAAGAGGAAGACTGATTCCCTGGCTTCGTTACTGGAAGTTTCACAGATAACTTTCCTTTTTGCTCTTCTGCTTCATGTAAATGTTTCATCTGCAGCAGTGCTTCATGTGCTTTTGAGTCCACATCGTGGAAATGAGATTGAAAATTTCTTAAGAGTTGATATAAATGGCGAAATATTAAACAAATGGTGTGGATTGTTTTTATTCAAACAACAATTCAGAAAGGACACCATACTAAAAACACTTAGGCTACGTTCACACTGCAGGCCTTAATGCTCAATTCCGATTTTTTTGCGTGTCCGTTCACACTTCCAAGTATATGCGACTTGTATGTGATCTACTGTGTGAACTGAAAGCGTTCAACCGAAGTGTCCCGCATGCGCACTCGAGGACGCGATGACGTCACATGTAGCAAGCGTCCTCAGTGTTTGCGGAAGTAAACATGACTCGTAATACCGCAGCGTATATTGCGTTCTTTAAGTTCTTCTCCAACAGGAGCAGGCACAATACGAATGAAATCTTTTTAAGAAGATCAAAAAGAAAGACCCTCCCCCGGTTCCGGTAAGACCCTTCGAGTTTGGTCTGAATCAACCTATCTTTCCAAATATGAATTAAGTCAGCAACCTCACTTTCTCTCCATTGACTACTCTCTGTGTTATCTTCCGCCATGGTTGTTAGTTTTTCCCGCCTCCGCTTAGTAGGACGCAGATTAGTAACGTTTAGTAACATTTGTCAAGTATCAATGACGTGTAGGTCGGATGAATGCGACCTGGCAGTACAGACACAGGTCGCATTTGAAAAGATCAGATACGTATCGGATTCAGGACCACATATCCAAGTGGCCTGGGTCGCATTTGAAAAAATCCGATCTGTGTCGTTCAGACTGTCATAAAAAGATCAGATACAGGTCACATATGGGCAAAAAAATCGGAATTGGGTCACTTCAGGCTGCAGTGTGAACGTAACCTTAGAGCAGGAATTAGATTTCCATAAGATCACTGGAGTGCTCGTTTGTATTTAAACACACAATCTGCACGACTGTAGCCTAACCCGCATCTTGACAGTCTTGTACCTGTTAGATAAAAGCTGGACAAACCCTCTACACTGAGATCTGGAGTTCAGTGTTCAGACGATTCAAGAAATCTACAGGATAAAATCAAACTGAACTTTAATGAGCAAACATTGAGACATGTTGACAGAGTAAAAAGGTACATAAATCAGGATGAATATCTAAAAGAAAAAAAACATTGATTCCCTCCAACAATCGGCTTAATCTGAGTCACTGTCCCCCTCGCTGTCAGCCTCCTTTACGTCCACGCTGAATTTGTACTCCTGATCACACCCCATGTATGCATCACTCATGAAGTACAGGGTGTAGTTATGGATGCCAATAGCAGGCGCAACAAAGTCCAGCTTGACCTGCAGAGAACAGACATGGTTTTAGGTTTTGGTTCAAGGAGCTCTATCTGGTCAAAGTATTTGCTTTTTGACTTGCTTCACCTTTGCTTTCTGCTGAAGAGTTAACCTCTTGATAGAAATAAGGCTGTTGGACTTGGGGTCTCCGATGACCACCCACCAGCCCTCCTCACGTTTCTGCAACAAGATTAGTCACACAGTCATTTAACATTTTATTAAAAAGCAGGTGTTTAAAAAAGTGCGGAGTGCTGTGACACTAACCTGAGGGAAAAGTGGAGCGATGACGGGACCGGTCACCTCCTCCTCTCGCTCGAGCTGAACTTGGACCAGAACTGAACTACCGCTGCAAAAAAAGAGGGAAATACAGCAATCAGATCACCCAAAGGTTAAACCTTAAAACTGGATCAATTATTTTTAAAATTTAACCCAAAATAGTGCAGGATTGTTTCTAAATTAAAAGAAAACGACTTGCTGTGTTATGCATTTTTCTTCATTAAGTAACGTTTAAGTAACGTCACCAAATAATACAGTAAATTATCCAGCAGGGGGCGCCCTAGTGTGGTTTTCAACCAAAGAGGCAGCACAGTCCAGGTCAGTTGCGTTCCATTTACATTCAACGGTTAACTCGGTACCGTGCTAGGACAGCTCTCGGCAGGTTAAAAATGGGGCTAGTGTTTGAGTGAATTACCCTCAATCTCCCTGACAAATGGCAGTAGTTTTTACACTATATTCCATAAAAGGTGCAACTCTGATAAACAGACCATTAAAGATAAAAAAAAAAAAAATTTATTTTAGATTTCACAATCTATTCAAAAATAAAAAGGTATGCAAACAGCTTGCTGGAGGCTGAGTGTAAGCAGACCTTTTGATGTTGTCCCTCTCGGCTACGTCATACGAAAGCTCAATGTTGGGGTAGCGGTTACAGAAGCGAGCCACGTCCGCTATCTGTGCGTCTGAGAGCTGCAGCAATGATGTTCTCTCCTCATCCTCCATCTCCATGATATCAAAGATGCTCTCCACACCCTTAAGGTAAAAGAAGTAGATCGTCAGTCAGAATGTTGAACTTCAGAACAGAAGTGGGAGGCGCATACAAGCACCACTCACTTTGTCGGTGCAGCGTTTGATGTGGTCTGAGGTGAAGTGGGGCAGCTGTCTCAGATAGGAATCCTTGGACCACATGGCTTGAGTGACCATCTGCGCCAGCTCCATAGCAGCCAGGGCTGGACTCAGCCAGCCGTTACTGGACAGCACATCCACACAGGCCTGAATCAGGCGGATCGCCTACAACCAGAAAACGCTTATTTTCAGAGAGACGCTACAGGATGTAAACTAAACACTTGCTGCGTTCTAGCAGAACTTGAATGGAAACCTTGCTCAGGATGTCTTCGGTGTCTGACTGGAGCTCTGCGCTCAGCTGCATCCTGGAGAGGTGGGCTTGCAGCAGCAGGTTGGTCTTCACATGGGGGTCATTAAACTTCGGGTTGTTTAACTTGTGGGGGACTTTTTGTGCCAGCTGAAATAAAAGAAATGGAAAAAAATATTTTATTTTAACTAATACTACTTCAACAACAGATTTCATATTCCATACAAAAAAAAGTCTAAGTCCAAGTTCACCTGTCGGAGAAGTGCGTCCTCGTGGTGCCTGATGGGAATGTTCTTGTATTCAGCCGCATTGGAGATGATTTCGATTAACCCACGGATCTTCGTCTTGGCATTCAGCGACATACTGAACAACTCTGGAAAAAAACAAACAGAATATTTGTTTAGCATCTAACAGGAGAAAAACTTTCAATGTTAGGTTGGATGCCGGGGCAGCGTTAGTACGAACCGATGGTGGTGTAGTTGATGTAGTAGTAAGCGGCAATCATTCCCAGATTGAGCGGAGCGACGTCCATTTCATCCTCAATGCTGATGCATTTGGACTGCTCCAGGTCATGCAAGGTGTTTTCCACCAATTCGGAGAGGTGATCGGACAGGTGACGATGGGACATGCCTGCCGTGATTACAGGACAGTTATCAGAACTCCTTTAAACTTCCAGTAAACCTACCCAGTCAGCACTTAAGCGCACTCCTCACCTTGCAGGTTGTAGTAGTTGGGGTTCTGCGTCATACGCCGGTAGAGGAACGTCCACGTCAGGTAGTCGACGGCATCTTGCTTGTTCTCCACCGTCTTGGTGACGATCTCGGCGTTGAAGTGGTCATGGAGACAGTGATCCAAGTGTGATTCCACAGGCAGGGGCTCATAGAGGAACTTCTTGAAGAAGTCCTACAAGGAAAACAGGAGGCGAAATAATTAACATTTATCTTTTTTTTTTTATGTAATTTTAACAAGTTCTGAGAAACCAACTTTAAGTTTTAGTTCAGGCTTGTTAATTATCTTATATTAATTTCAAAGTGAAACATAAACGCTAATTTACCTTCTTAGAGCCCTGACACATGATAACACAGCGTCCCTCATCATCTTGCATGGGCCTGTTCGCCTTACCGACCATCTGGAGGACATCGTAGATGGGATAGTCCACATATCTAAAACAAAGACGACAGGAAAGATGTAAAGGAAGTCTCATTATTTTGGATCATACTGTGAGTAAAGTTCTCAAAGGGCCTTACGCATGGATTTTCCCATTGTAGTACTGCGTGTCCATGACGATGACGAGATGTGCAGAGAAGTTGATGCCCCAGCAGAGCGAACGTGAGGAAACCACCACCTGGACGGCACCTGTACCCAGAGAGGAAGTTCAAATCACAAGAAAACTTTCATCCCGTTTCTGTATTTTTATCTTTATTGTTTTATACCGGAGTTAAAAAGCTGTTCCACAATCCGGCGCTCTGTCGCGCTTAGGCCCTCGTGCAGGTACGCCACGCCATTGGCTAGGGTTTCTTTCAGAGTTGGGTCGTTTATTTTCTCTAGGAACGGAACCAAGTCTTTCTCTGTGCAGTGCAGGAACCTAAAGAAAGAAATGTTTTATCAGATAATTTTTTTTTGCAGATTTTAATCTCTGTTCTGCAATCAAAAATACAATAATTAAAGTAAAGGCTGACCTCTGAGGGACAACATCTGCAGCGCAGAAGGTCAGGATGTCAATGGCGGTGAGGCGGGTCTGCCTGCGGGATGGGACAAACACCACCACCGGCTTGGAGGGTGAATGCTTCATGATGGCGTGATACACTGGCTTAGCCATGGACAGAAGGCGAGTCTGAGTGTGGCTCACATTGAAGCCCTACAGGGACAGAGGAGCATTTACAGCACATTAGCAACCCGGCAGGTAATGGCTGGTTTCTGGGTGCAGGCAGCCGTGTGTTAACGGACCTGGATGTGCAGCTCCAGAGGAACGGGCCGAACGTTGGGGTGGAAGTTAAACGTAGCAGTGGTGCTGCAGCCCAGCCAGTGAGCCACGTCTTTGGCGTTGGACAGCGAGGAGCTGAGGGCCACAATGCGGATGGGTCGCTCTATCTGAGAGGAAATGTACCTCATCCTGGAGCAGATGACCTCTAGCACAGGCTGATAAAAAAACGAGAAATAAAAAATAAACCAAAACTGCCTAAAAAAAACCCAAAACCAAATATATTTTTTTCTTACTCCATTTTCTCCTCCAATGAGGTGCGTCTCATCCACGATAAAAAGGCTGACGTTCTGGACGTTCTTTCTCTGTTTCCAGCGGCGGGACAGGATGTCCCACTTGTCAGGGGTGCTGACGATGATGTCGCCTTTTCCCAGCAGCTTCAGATCTGTGCTGGTTTCTCCTGTCAGCAGAACCACCTTCTTGTTCAGGATATCTTGGAACTTCTGGTGCCAGTCGACAAAAACCTGAAAACAAAAGTCCGGCATAAATCCTCGCAAAAGTATCCGAGGTTCTTGACCTTTCTAACATTTCATGATATGCCATAACGTGAGGATTAAGAAGCTCAGTGTGGCTGTTATTCTGATTAATCTGAGAAGTATGGCATGGGGTCAAATGGACCCTGCCTTTGCAAAAACAAAGTTAGTCGCAAATAAAATACTGCATTTCCCCAATTTGTGAATAAAGTCCATCTGAATACATATTATTCTGTCAAAGAACATTGATGAAACAATTAATGGTGCAAACAGAAGAAGTTGAAAACCTTAAAAATAGTCTATTCAGGTAGTATGACTGCATTTCTACACCAGCAGCTTACTCTGGCCACAAATGCTTTTCAATTAAATTATGATAATTCTGTTGCCCAACTTATTTTAATTGTGTTTAATCATTTGTTTTTGGTCCAATTTTAGTAAATCAAGCACATTTTGTATATTTACCAAAACAAGACCATGGGAACGAGGGTATAATACTGCACACAGGGGCAACGAGTACATTAGTAATGGAGCCAAGCAAGTCAGCATTTTTGAACTGGAGGTTTAAGAAGAGAGAAGAAAAGTCTAAGATTTAAGGTGGATTGTGCTTGAAGAAAAGAAACGCCCATGGCATAGCATACAGTATGAAAGGGTTTCATAGCAGCTCTATATACCAGAAAACAATCACAGAAAAGAGTGGAACTACAAACCAAATTAGTGGAGATTAATGAAAAATACTTTTCTTTTTATCATCATAGTATTTCATCAAGTATTCACTATTTTCTGTTGATCCAGCACATAAAACCCCAATTAAACCTGTCTTCCAGGTAACAAGAGATGGAAGGTATCAGACAGGTAAGCATGTACCTGCTCAGCCAGCGCTTCCATCGGGGTGATGTACACACAGCGACCCTCCGAGTTGTGCAGCAGCATTCTCAGAATGGCAAACTCTGCACAGATGGTCTTTCCACTGCCAGTTGGAGCTCCCACAAACACATTATCATCACTGTTGTACACAGCATTGAAGACTGAAAGAGCAAGAGAATGAAAGGTAAGAGGAGCAGAGAAGCCAGTCCTGACCTCACTTTTAAAAGATTCAGTGTTTCTCCTTGACTACCTTGTGTCTGGATGGGATTGAAGAAGGGGAACTTGTTTTGGTAAAGAGCCTCAAAGGCAGAGTTTCTGAGAGCGGTGACAGGTAGCGGCTGGAGATCCAGCAGCTCAGTGGGTGGGGGGTACTTCTCAGGTAGAATGAGGTGGCGGAAAGACACGGGCAGCTGCGTCTCACAGGCTGACAGAAAAACAATGAAAAATTGTGTAAGTTGAAGAGCTAACAGTGGAGGACAATCCTGAAAAAAAAAAAAAAAAAAAAAAGAATCAGGCTGCTTACAGAGCCACCGGTCTGAGACGACGCGGATGAAGTACTGAGGAGGCAGAGGCTCAAACACAGGCACAAAGAATGTGACAAGATGCTCGTCCTGGGCGTACTTGGCCTTCAGGAGGAAGTACTCATGGTGAAGGATGACCTCACTGTCTACATCCTCAACCAGAATCCAGAAAGCTTCAGACGAACCGTGAATCTGAGCAGAAAAAACCCCCAAACATTTATGATAAACCTGAGGAGGAAAGGGAGACTTAAGCAGATCTATGTTGCACGTTTAACTAACCTTGTCCTCCCACTGGAAGTCCGGCGTGATGGTCAGCTCCACTTTGAGCGTGGAGCGAGTGATAGGCTGGATATGGACAGCCAGGTCCAGTTTGGGGAATTGGTGCACGTATTTATGAATGGTCTTACCCATCTTTGGCATGCGGATCAGCTCACCTGAACAGAGAAATGTACAAAAGTTGTTAAAACTATACAGCCCGGATAAAAAAAAAAAAGGGTTGGTAAAAGATTCCACAGAGGGAGGGGAGAAAAATAAAATAAACTCACCGATCTCATTGTGATTGAGATCATAGAGACGCTCGAAGGGGAAATTCTTCTTCTCGATCTTCTTGACTACCTCTTCAGGCAGCTTCTTGAACTGCCTCAGAGGAGACATTGACTGCCACCTGTTGATGATGGGAACAAAACACTGTAAACGGATTCCGCCCACCACGGAGCAAAACTTCAACTTTAGCATCGCCAATCACACTCACATTCGTTTGTCAATCATCTTGCAGAGATTCATGGTCTTGTCTGTGAGTTGAGCCCAGCCCCGACTGAGCACAATCTCAAATATGGCCCGCATCAATCGACCGGCACTCTGAGGACCAAAAAAAAAAAAAAAAAAAAACAGGATATGGGAAGACAGAACAGTAACATGACATAGCAAAAATAATCCATCAATTTGAAAGAGACATGTTTTTAAAAGTGAAATGAGAATCCTTAAGGATAAAACAGCGGTTCTTACTGTACCTGTGTAACGTACACCATGTCGGCCATGAGGGCAAAACCTTCCAGTTTGAGCTGAGAGATGAAGGCTTGGAGCAGAACATTAATCTGGAACACAAACACAGATGATTTATAATCCTCTAATAAAAAAAAAAAAAAAAAAAAAAACTCTCCTTCAACCTCAATTTCATTTGGAGGGAGTGGGGTCCTAGTAGTTAGGACATACAGCTTGGAATCCTTATACGCCATTTACACTACCCTTGAAAAACCGTGCCGAGACCGGTCCGAGCTCAGTAAGTGAGATAACTTATCGTGTGTAAATGGAAAGCAAACTGAACTGAACCGAGATAACTGCAGACCAGTTCCAGAGGTGGGCTCGGTTCGGTTTTTCCCTGGCTCGGTTCTCTGATAACAAGAGCGCATGAGTAGAACGCGTCTTCTCCGTCTGGCTGCACATCGCGATTCACACTCCATTCCAGCGAGATGGAAAAATTGACACAGCGCTGATGATAAAGAGTGCTATGATCACTCCTATGAAACAGTTTATTAACACCTAAATTAACTTAAAATGCAGAAACCTGCCAGCAGAATATGTTCGCTTTTATTATTCTGGTGCCTGCAGATTGGATTATTTAGATTAAATACACCTACCAGCCGCCGCGGTGAACCGCGAGGAGGTGACCCGGCCAGAGGCTGCTGATGAAGGGATTCCTACTGTCGGCGCACCGCCGGTATGTGGGGGTCTGAGCGGCTCCGACAGAAATAACATTGGAAGGCAGCATTGTAATCTGGAATAACTGACTGCACTGATGAAGTTTTAAGGTGTACACTCACCGGCCACTTAATTAGGAACACCTGTCCAACTGCTCGTTAACACTTAATTTCTAAGCAGCCAATCACATGGGGGCAACTCAGTGCATTTAGACATGTAGACATGGTCAAGACAATCTCCTGCAGTTCGAAGCGAGCATCAGTATGGGGAAGAAAGGTGATTTGAGTGACTTTGAACGTGGCATGATTGTTGGTGCCAGAAGGGCTGGTCTGAGTATTTCAGAAACTGCTGATCTGCTGGGATTTTCACACACAACCATCTCTAGGGTTTACAGAGAATGGTCCGAAAAAGAAAAAAACATCCAGTGAGCAGCAGTTCTGTGGGCGGAAATGCCTTGTTGTTACCAGAGGTCAGAGGAGAATGGCCAGACTGGTTCGAGCTGATAGAAGAGCAACAGTGACTCAAATAACCACCCGTTACAACCAAGGTGGGCAGAAGAGCATCTATGAACACACAGTACGTCGAACTTTGAGGCAGGTGGGCTACAGCAGCAGAAGACCATACCAGGTGCCACTCCTTTCAGCTAAGAACAGAAAACTGAGGCTACAATTTGCACAAGCTCATCGAAATTGGACAATAGAAGATTGGAAAAACGTTTCCTGGTCTGATGAGTCTCGATTTCTGCTGCGACATTCGGATGGTAGGGTCAGAATTTGGCGTCTACAACATAAAAACATGGATCCATCCTGCCTTGTATCAACGGTTCAGGCTTGTAGTGGTGGTGTCATGGTGTGGGGAATATTTTCTTGGCACTCTTTGGGCCCCTTGGTACCAATTGAGCATCGTTGCAACGCCACAGCCTACCTGAGTATTGTTGCTGACCATGTCCATCCCTTTATGACCACAATGTACCCAACTTCTGATGGCTACTTTCAGCAGGATAATGCGCCATGTCATAAAGCTGGAATCATCTCAGACTGGTTTCTTGAACATGACAATGAGTTCACTGTACTCAAATGGCCTCCCCAGTCACCAGATCTCAATCCAAAAGAGCATCTTTGGGATGTGGTGGAACGGGAGATTCGCATCATGGATGTGCAGCCGACAAATCTGCGGCAACTGTGTGATGCCATCATGTCAATATGGACCAAAATCCCTGATGAATGCTTCCAGCACCTTGTTGAATCTATGCTACGAAGAATTGAGGCAGTTCTGAAGGCAAAAGGGGGTCCAACCCGTTACTAGCATGGGGTACCTAATAAAGTGGCCGGTGAGTGTATTTTCTCACTTAAAAACATATTAAAACTACTTTATTCCCACTGATCACAGCAAATATAGCTGCAAGGCAGAGAAAGGATAGTGAAGCTCTGCCCAACGCGCGTCAGACACACTTTTGCACCTCGCAGCCAGAGCAGCAAAGCTGTTTCAGCCGTGCATCAGAACTAACTGGTACAAGCAGCAAAAATGAAGCAGCAGACGCGATTTTGCTGCTTTTGCTGCGTCCGGTGTGAACGTAGCATAATGATCAAGCATAACTTTCTGAATGTGACGGGCGAAGCCATTTTGATTTGTTTGATTCCCTCCTTCTTCGTCGTCTTCTTCTTCTTGTGTTTTATGGCGGTTGGCAAACAACTTTTGGTGCATTACCGCCACCAACTGCTTGATTTCCTCCTTTAATACTGGCAGTAATACCGCAGATTGTCACTAGGAGGCGAGGAGTCGAGGAACCGAGATAGCGTTATGTGTAAACGATCGCCAGAACCGAGCTCGGATCAGTTAACCAGGCCGAGCTCGGACCGGTCTCGGCAAGGATCGGGTTTTTCAAGGGTAGCGTAAATGGGGTATTAGGTTCTGGCTTCGAGCCCTACTTCCACAGACTGCCACTCTGGGTCTCTGAGCAAAACCCTTAACCCCACACTGCTCCCCGGGAGCCCCACAATGGCAGCCCACTGGTCCCCGAGAGGATGGGTTAAATGAAGAGGTAAATTTCTTCAATAAAGTTCAATTATTTGTAATTATTTATTTATTATTTTCAGCAAACAAACACCAATCAGAATTTTTTTGGCTGATTTCAAGTTGCTGGTTTTAGTTAAACTTCGACTTTGTGATACAGGTTTTAGTTTATACCAAATTCTCTGCGAAGCATTAATTATCACAATTCAAAATATTTTCTTTTCTAACACGTTATGAGTCGTCAATAATGCCAGAAAGAAAGAGTCCTCACCACACGGTTGAAGATTCCATTTATATAGGTGACTGGTAAAGTTAAAATAAATGTTTTCTATTAGATTAAAAAAAAAAGTTAAAAATAGATTTTTTTTTTTTAAAACTAGGTGCCTTCTCTGGCCAAGCAAAAGCAGAATGAGTTTCCAACCACCGGGTTACTAAGGATTTCTTAGTGGATCTCCTACTAAAGAACACATAATGTTAGACTCTAATAAAACTGGGCGGTTACCTTAGCACTGGGCTCCTCGATGCTCTCCTTTACAGGAATTGGAACTCTTTCAAGCAGTTTTTGAAGCTCCAGTTTTTCCTCCTACAAGAAAAGTCTTTTTGTCATTTTTTGTGTGTAAAAGAGAAGCCTAAAGTAGGATTTTCATAGATAGATCATAGCCGTCATTCTACGTTTAGCTAGCACACCTCTCTCACTGTGATGTTTCTGAACTCTGAGGACAGTGAAAAGACCCTGAAGAGTTCAATCTCGCTGAGAGTGGGTTTCAGCAGCTGGTTGTAGGTCTGCACTGAATCATGGGTGATGTAGAAGTGGCTCGCAATACGTCCCAGGTCTGTAACCTTTATGTGATGACAGACGAAAAAATTGTTTGTTTTAATTTATTGTGAATTTATAATAACAAGGATCACACAGTAGAAGCGAGAGCTGATTTGCAGACCTGGAAGCTACCCGTCCTCTTGTCGTATTTAATAAGGCTGTTCTTGTCCAGGACGCTGGCTGCTGTGTGAATCAAATCCATCCTTCGCCGCTCCAGCAGCGGGTCCGAGCCTCGGTCATCATGAGAGACTCCATAG